TTTGCAGCCTGGTGAGAGCTGGGTGTGCTCTCCACTCCTGCTGCATTTCTGTGGGCAGGCCAAGGGCTGACCTTCACCTGCCTCTCTCAGAAGGCAGCTTTCATACTGCTTTCATATGGCAAATTTCAATACTTTCCCTTTGGAGCAGCAGCCAGACAAGAGAAACTGCCCAAGGCTGAGCACCACTGGTCAGATCCAAGTGTTTGCAAGCACACTTATCCTGGAGGATTCTGCACTTGTCTTTGGACAGCTTGACTGAATGCCTTAGATTTTCCTTTTCAACTGCCGAGTCTGATCTTCACAAGGGTGTGCAATATTGTCTCTTCATAAATTTGGTACATGATCTGTATTAATTTATAAGGTAAGAGTCACACTCTGCAAACTCTTAACCACAATCCCTCCTCTCTACACGAATACACTGATTTACCTCAGGAATCACATCCGAGTATCATATGGCTGAACTCACCTGGCAATCTAAAGCTGATTCTACTGGGATTTGTCTCCTTTGAGAGCAGCTCTTAATTTTCTACAAACTTTCTCATCTCCCTCTCCTTAACACACAGAACTTCCCCACTGAGGTTTCAATCAGTTTGTGCAAAGGGAAGCACCAATTGCTGGGGCAGCTCAGTCAGTCTGTGCAGAACACAACAATGAGCCTGAATTTTATCCAGCTTTTCCATTGACATCTGCACAACCCTTTCTGGGGTTCACAGTGGGAATTATAACTACTGCCTTGATCCCAGGTTTTATGCATTAGTCATTTTTTGTAATATGGGAGATAGGCAGGGAGGGCTCAGTTGCCTGAAGGGGGATGCCAAGGCTGTTTGAGACACATGAGGAAAACCAGGATACCTCACTGGGCACCAGATCCAATGGATCTGTCACAGGACAACTGAATGCTGGTGGAGCAGCAACCAGGGAACAGGCAGGACACCCTGGAGAACACAAGGAGACTGTGAGACCTGAATCCTACCTGCATCTAAATGGCCCAAATCGTCTTCCTGAATGGTCTAAATCACCTTTAGACTGCTTAGTGGGATCTAAAGTCCATCACCATCCCTGGAGAAATTCCCTGGAGAAATTCCCAGTGACCTTGGCTTGGAACTGCCACTGGGTTCTGGCTCTTGCAGTGCCACAGTTTCCTTTGCATGGATAGGCAAGGGAGAGAAGGGCAGTGGAAGTGCCTTCCAGGCCTCCCAGTGACACAACCAGAATGGACATATTTGCATAAAATGACAGTATGGCAAAAAAAGTACAAATAGGTAATTCAAACCCAAAGTGCTGCAACAGATGGACAGTTTGTGGGAACCCACCACACTCTCCATGCACCTGGAAGCACACAGAGGCCAATGGCAAGCACAATAAAAATGTAAAAACTAGTGCAGGCAGAACACTCACACTCCCCAATGGCTACAACCCCCACATTTCAAGAAAAAAGACTTACAGCTTTTATATAAAATAACTGTGAACTGTAGAAAGTCTCCATTTGAATTCCCGACCCAGAGATTTGCACAGCAGTGCTGCAAAAAGCAGTAATTATAGAGCAGCTTTTTAATATGCAATGGTGTGCAGCACTTCTCTTTTTGAGCTGAACAGCCAAAGTAATACCATAAATATTATATTTAAATAGTAGCTCAAACCACATGGTTTTGAAAACAATAAGCAAGCCCATGCTTTGCAGGAACAGAGAATTAGAAATGATTTCACACAGGAGGATAAAAGGTTTGCAAGAATTGTGATCACGCTACAGGGAAATAGTTTATACAAGGCTGTACTCGAAGGTACATTCCCAGTTCCAATATAATTAACTGTTTTCAGAGATTTATAGTTTTGCTGTATGCATTTGCTTAAATATTAATTCTGCTGCCTGGTGCTTAAAGCAGGATGGATTGTTCAAAGTGAAAATGGCTGAATGCCCCATTCACAGGAAATATGGGACTTCTTACCAGAGAGCACTGGCTTCTGTTTGATACTTCTGAATGTTAATTTATATTTAATTGTAAAAAACAAGAGATCAAATTCGTTCTTTCTCATAAGTAAAAAGTGGGAGCAACATAATGCAGCCTAATGCTGCATATTTAACCTCAGCCAATTTTGCAGATTTTTAACTAAAGTTACAAAATTTTATAAAGCAGGTGACTGGAAAGACAACGCTGAAATCTTATTTTGAAAAAGAGAGTGACCACATGACCATTTTCACTGTTTGATGTGTTGAAACACTTTCCCCATAAACCTTTTACAATTCCATAACGAATTTGCTCAGCTATCAACGAGAAGCAGAAATAAAACTAAGTTCAACAGTCTGAACATCGAGGAAGCCTCCAGAGGTTCTGCTGACAAATAAGAACTTGAAACTAATCTTGCAAATTATCATTATCCTTGAGCACAGGTGCTTATTAGCATTAATTAACCTAATGCAAAGCCCGTTCAGGTGTCCCACACCAACTTTAACAGACTCCAGAGCAGGTCCCATGAACGCCAAGTCGTTCACAAGCTTTTGCAAGACCTTGGCCTGCAAAGATCACAGAAAGTCCAGTCCTATGATGAGGCTGGTGCTTTATTCACCTTTATTTAACACTACTGTCACCAAGGCAATACCCCTAAAACAATCCACTGCTCTGAGAAGGAAAACCTGTGGGATTTACTAACAAAGTGAACGTGGAAGGCAGGTCCCAACAGAGAGGGACAGCAAAGCTCTGGCTGCGCTCTAAGAGAAGTCTGAGCATGGGAAGGATTCGGACCGAGACCCAGAGATCCCAGAAAAACCCTCACAGAGTTACTCAGTCCCATAATGTGAGCTCAAGAGACATAACATTCAGTCACCTGACTGGAGACTTCTCTTACCAAAATACATGAGGCTGAGCATGCTGAGGGGTGGGATCTCTCCCGTCTGACAGGTCACGGGAGGCAGACAGGCTGCTACATTCGAGTTAATTTTTATGTCACATATTTATGTTCTGAACCAGGAGGTAATAAAGACACGAACGTGCAGACTTCCTTTTAGTTAACTCTGGACTTTCTTCCAGCTGGGGGGGAGGGCAGGGGCCAACCCCAGTGTTCAGTGATCCCAGGGGCTGGAGATTTAAACAACTTTGAGCCATGGCTGCCTTGGTTTCTCAAACTGTTGATCCCCTGCCCACCTCCCGGGCCAGTCAGATGCCCTGTGCTTGCAGCTGAATAACAGGCAGCACACGAGCACAGGCATCAGACCGCGTGCTGTCACCTGCGGATCTCAGCTGAGCGGTGATTTTGGGAGCTGATACCCTGACGCTCCTAAACTTCTCTTTGTTAGGAGCCATCTGGCAGCGTGGCCAGAGTCCTGCCTAAGCAAAAGAAGGGAATGTTTGGCAGCAGCGAGTAGCACCAGTCAGAGCGAGATTCCACCCACCCCCCAACCTCAAGGAACGGAGGTGTCACTTACACGCCGCATCCTACAACTTCTCCTCGTGCATCTCCCTACCCCAAACACCCTCTCGGCAGGAGCCCAGTTAAGCCCAGACCAGGAAAGCCGCTCCGATCCGAGCAGCCGGCGCCAGCCCGAGCCCGCTCGCCCGCGCAGCAGCCCGAGGACGGGGACACGCAGGGACACGCGGGGACCAAATCCGGCGGCTGCAACCGCAAGAAAGTTCGTGCCGATACAACACCCCGGTAAACCACGCGCGGGGGGGGGGACGAAGCGGCTGACAGGGGAGAGTCCTAATCAAACCGTACGATCTCACCCACGCACACATCTCCCAGCTCAGCACTCCCAAAATCACCCGCGAGCACCCAAAGATCGAGGGAAGGGGCAGGAACGGGCGGCTGGGCAGAGACTGCCTCCCGCCGGCTCCTCTCGGATGCCGGGCAGTTCCAGGAGGAGGAGGGCAGGGGGCTTCTCCCCTGGCAGCCGGAGGGTGCAGGGGGGCTCCTTGCCCCGCAGCATCAACCCCGGGAACAAACGGGGGTGGGGGGCGCAGCTGCGGCCACGGGGGCTCCGGTGCCGCGTCCCCGGCAGCGCCCAGGACCTGTCCCGACTCGCACCTACCTCGGGATGCGGGGCCGGGGCCGCGGGGCTGCGGGAGGAGGCGGCCCGGGCAGCCACGGCCGAGCCGGGGCCGCTGCCCAGCACGGGCGGGCGATGCTGCTGCGGGGGACTCCGGGCGTCTCTTTGGCTCTGTTGGGAAAGTTACCGCGGCCACAAGACCCACCTTAAACCCGCCTCCCCGCAGGACCCGGGGGAGGGGGAAGGAGGAGGGAGGGAGGGAGGAGACGGGGGTGGGGGCTCGGGGCCGTTCTCTTCTCTTTTCTTCTCGTAGCGGCGCTGTTCGGGCTGGCGCTCCGGGATGCGGGGCTGGGAACGCACCAGTGCATCCCTTCTCCCGCAGGCTCCGCTCCCTCCCCCAGATTCCTGCTTTGCCGCGCGGTTCCAGCTTCAGAGCGCAGAAACTTTCCCGTTTGCTGCGGCGCTGACGCTGATTTTTGGCTTATTCGTTTTGGTGATGGTCGGTTTGGCATCTCGTTATTTATTTAACCATTTGTTGTTTGTTTGAGGGGGGGGGGGGGGGGGTCGGGTCCAGTCCTGATGCCTCGGGCGTTGTGTGTGTGTGTTTTGGGTTTTTTCTCCGCCCGATATTCCATTAAAATGCCTTAAATAGACTAGAAGGACAAAGAATCAGACCGCCACCCCGCCATCCCGAGCAGCGCACGGGGGGATGAGGAAGCAAACTATAGCTGAGGGAGAAACACTTGGCGGCTCAGCAGAGGTAGGAGATGGGGGGGAAAGCACGGCTCCCTGCCTCCTGCGGCTGGAAAACCGGGATCTCCAGAGCAGAGACCTCTCAGATTCCAGCGGGAGATCGCGCAAACTTCTGGAGCCGTTTCGGGGTGCCTCGGTTTGCACACCCAGGGGAGCATACGCAGCTCTCGGGGCCTAAAACCAGCCCCGGGATGGGGAGAAGCTGCTTACGAGGTATCGATAAATGAGGGGATGCTGCCAGGGAGAAGCGCGGTGGAGAATTTACCTCTTCTCTAGCATCCTCTACCGTCCAGAGCTTCTGCCCTCGCACTGTCACAGCGACTGCACCGCTGCTGCCTTCGGCCGGCTCTGGATGCTCAGAGCGGCATCAGCCGGGGAAGGAATCGCACCCCGTGGCTGTCATCTTCTTCCTGAAAGATGTACCAGAAGTTACAAACGTGTAATGATTTAAATCATTAGAGCAAAAGGCTCATGACAGGTGATCTGAACAGCTGCACTCAGCTCTTAGCCAGGAGCCTTAAGCTTGCACAGGTTGTTCAAGATGAAATGCTCTACTTGTGCTATGTACTATTAGTGATTATTTTCTAATTGGAATAATAATGTTGGCTGGGTTCCTGCCTTTTTATCGTCTCAAGAATATGTGTAAGAAACATAAGACCAAGCCCCTTTTTGATAACACACCAAAATGGTTCACAGAACTTTTTTTGTCCCCGTAGGCACACGATGAATCCCCACATTGTACAATATTTTATGGCCACGTGAAGCTGCCAAAATCCTTTGTCCTGCACCGTGTGTCTCTTGGTCCCCTGCCAGGACATGACTGCAGGTGGTGGCAGCGTTTCAGGATGGAGATACTTTGGGCCAGCATTGGTACAAAGCTTCCACAGGGGACTCCCTGCAATCTCCCAGCTTCCCAAAAAACTCCTCCACTCCCACACTGCGTTGGTGCCTCTGGGTTCCCAACCTGCCCCTTGCTGGGCTGGCCTGGTTTGCAGCCTCCCCAGGATGTTGCACCAGTGAGGAATCCGTGTGTGCTGGAGTGGTTCCTGCTTTCCCACCTCCTTTTCCAAGCCCAGCTCTGCTCCCTCACCAGCTCCACAAGCTATTTTTCTTCATTACCTATGACTGTGGCAAACTAAGCAGGTTCTGCAGCAGTTCTGGTGCCTGAAGTGAATTCAGCCCCCTCTTTCCCAACTTGCTTTTAATTATTTTTTACAAACATCCCAATGATGAATATCAATAATAAATTAGCAATCGTGTTTATTTATTAAATTATTTTCAATATTTAATACAATTTAATAGATCAAATTTGAACTCAATTTATTGAATAAATAAAGATAATTGGGTTTTGTTGTTTGTATAAGAATATTAAACCCACCAGTTGCTCTGTCCTGATGGCATTGTTTATAACTCAGTTTTGTCACCAGTTTCCAGTTGGGGAACTACTCAGCATCCCTGATTTTAGTTTTTAAACAGTAAGATGCTCCCTGAAATGCACAAAATGTTTAAAATTAATTAGGCCAGCCTTCTGCTATAATTTCAGTTCTTTTTATTCTTTCCCTTTCAGAGTTCTCTTTAAAACTTTCCAAAGAAGTGGCCTGTCAAACTATGAGTGCCCTGGGCATCAATGAAAACCAAGATATCACACTGTTCTATAGGTGTTTGCAGATCTTTGACACAAAGCATTCAGCCCTGCTCTTCTTTCTCCTGTAAAATCCCATCCAGCTCATTTATTTCACTTGGAAAGTTCTGGAATTCTCTCCAATATGGTTGTCTACTTGCAGGGCAGCAGAGGGTAGCAAATGCCAATGAATCTGGCTGTGGATGTGTTCTACATTTGAGGGTGACTACTAGAATATTCATTTATTATTGGTCTCCATTTAAATGCAACCCCCTTCTAAGAAGACATTCAGTACAAACAGCACTAGATTGCAGCAAACTGGTTCTAGTCCAGTGCTTCTGTTTTTAAAATGGGCAGTTTACAAATAAAGATATAAAAAGACAGTTTGGCTTTCTTTTTTTTCCCTTATTTTTGTTGACTCAATGAGTGTAGCCTAGAGTTATAACTCTGTAAACTCCAGCTGAATCTTTAAGCTTAGAAAGAACCTTTCATAAATCAGAATGAGTTGTTGAAATTCCGAAGGACAAAATAACTCTCAGTTATGTGAGTGCACAGCCTCAGTTTGGTGAAATGATAACTGGTTATCCCCAGGAAGCCTGAGCACCAACATGGAAATGAGAAAAGGATTGGGGGAAAAAAAAGGCAAAAAAAAAAAAAAGGCAAGCAAGAGTGTATTACAAGAGTGACTGCACAGAAAACTGCTTAATAATTCTGCTGATAAAGTGTGAGCCAGAGAAGAATTCATTTCCCTCTCCCAGAGCTCAGCTGGGGTGACAGGAGTTTAAGGAAGTGCAGCCTTTCAGAAAGGTGAGCAGGAATGTCCTTCAGTGCAGACAACAGAGCTGGACAGCACTGGAGTCACTGAGAGCTTTGACTTCTGGGGAGGCACAGCTTTACCCTGGGAGAAGTGCTGAGTGAAAACCAGCCACTTGGACATGTTTTCTCTTCAGAGCCCATTCCCCTTCCGAGAGCATTTTCCTGCTTTCCTCTCCTTGCCTCTCCATGTCCAATTCAAAACCAGTTCCTGTCCACTTTTTCCTTTTGCTCCAAGGGGCAGTTGGGCCTCAGGAAACATCAGCAAACTGAATCATGTTATTGTTTGTAACAGCATCACTTATCAATGCTCTGAAATTATTATTCTGTTAATATTAAAGCTCAAGAAATTAAATATGCATCATTTGTGTCTGAATGAGCAATTATTATTGAACATAATGCTTGAAAAAGAAAAACAAAGCTTTTCAGACATAACATGAATTTTAACTTGTGGGGTTTTTTTTAGAAAACCAATCAGGGTTTTATTTTATGCATCATTCTGTTCCCTGCAATAATACACTGTCTGTGCAATCAGTGATGATAAATGGGCCATAATTGTAAACTTGATATTGGTTTTCAATATTGAATTCATCATTGTGTCCTCTTAACACATATTAAATACTTTAAAGAATTTATATGTTTGTTTGATTTATCTGTGATTTTTTTCCCAATATGTAAAATTTATTAGTTTTCTGGTTTTTGAGAAACTAAGAGTAGACAACATCATTAATAACACTGAATAATAGCCTTGGCCTCATTTATGCATGACTCCCTTCTCCCAGACAAAGTGTCCAAACCCAATACAAACGTATTAGTTGGAGGCAGGATAGAAAATACAGCCTGAACTAGAGCCAGTTCTGCACAGGTTTTGTTTGAATTCCCTGATCTATCCCCGATCCCTCCAAATAATGATTGCAAGAATTTACTCTCATTTAAGGGCAACTCCTGCACTCATATTTCACTTTATTCTATGGCAGAGTTGTTGACTAACCTCTACAACACCTAAATTCTTATTAATGTTAATGAGAGTTATACATATGAACTGGGAAGCGAAGAGACCCCTCACCATGAAAAAAAACTACCAACAGCAGCTTTTATAATGCATAATTAACAGCAATGTCACATAGGTCAAAGCAACCTTGGCTTTCTTGTGAAAACTCTTATTTGGAAAGCTGCAAAGACTGGATTTTTTTTCTGTCAAGAAAACCCACACTGCAGCTCAAGCAAGAAACTGCTTCACCTTCTGGTTTTGAGAGCTAAAAGACAATTTACCCACCAGGCTCCTGCTTGTCTCCAGGACATCCCTCCTAGTCCTGCCTGAGGTAGAATCCAGGCTATGGGAGGAATTTGACCCAATCCCAACCTCACACCAGCAAACAGGCATTTACAGGTTGAACATTATCAGCTGTATTTGTGGTTGAGTTCCTTGTTTGATTATTACCAATCTCTTGAGTTTGGATCTCTTTGAGTTTCTCTTTCACCCAAACCCAAAAAGGCTGGAACTGCCAAGAGCAAGTACAGACCAAAAAAAAGGGGGCAGAGAAGCAGCAGCTCCAGAAGAATGTTGATTCACTCCCTCTGCCTTCCCCAATAAACTGAGGTTCCCCAAAGTTCTGCTCCTTCCCAGAGAGGCCGTTCTCCCTCAGGAGAGCCTTCAAGAGCCTGCTTTCCCTTAGGAAATTCCCCCTTGACCAGAATTCCAAGTGTTAGCAAACCAGAAACAGAGTTAAAATAAGGACTGAAGCAGACAGAAGTTCGTGTGCTTGGCATTCTGAAACAAGCATGGGATATTTTCATTTAGACATTATTTACAGGTGCTTCTAAATATGCTGGAGCAAATTTATCATCAAGCTTAACTTGTTGTCTTCAGCCAGCTGTCTCCAGATCCACAGAATATTAAGGAGAGGACTTAAGTCTGTAGGAAATGTACTGTTGCAGCAATTGGCATTATTTGGACACACTGTGGAATGCTCAGCTGTGCTTTCATCAACAGAAATTTGGAGTTTACTGCTCTTGCCCTCAGTGAGGAATGGGTTTGATTACAGAAAGAAGAGACATGCTGAGAGAAGCTGTGAATTTATCTTCAGGATGGATTGCTGCAGGAATTTTTACCCTGAAGTTGTAGGAACTAGTTGAATGCCAGCACTGAATGTGAACATTCTCTGAAGTGACCCCCTCTTCTGTAAAACCCCCAGTCCTGACAACCAGCTGCCCCTGTGCTCAGTGCTCCCCAGTGGGCTCAGAGGAGACGTTTGGAAAGAGGAGCATTTGAATTTTTATCTGCTCGGGGAATTTTGTTGTTGCTTTTATTCATCCCTGCAGAGATGAGCAGCCCACAAAGCCAGTCCACCTGCACAAGACCTTACCCTGTTCCAGTGAGAGCTGAAGATGCACCTTTAGATTGACTGCAATGACTCTTGAACTGGACTGGTTATTTTATGCCTCACTTTCCCACCTGCTAAAATGGAAGTATTAATTCCTGCCCAGAATCTTGGCCTGTCCTGCATATGCTACAGAGATTAAAATTATAATGGACACTTTGAAATTTTGGAATTTTGAGGAATTATGGTCGTTGCCATTCAAACCATAAAAAGAAATCAAGCAAATCATTACAGCAAATCCTACAAGTTTTACTTCTGTTTTCAAAGAAAATCTAAGAAATCTTGGCTGCAAGTATTTCTTTTCATTGTTATCCATCCACAGAATGATAAGTAAGGATGTACCAGGAGTTGATCCCCAAACTGAGGGAATGCTGCAGTGCATTTGTTTCTTTGGTTTGCCACTTTACGAGGGAAAAAACCCACATTTCTCAGATATTTTTGGTAACGTGTGACTAAGTAGCAAAATTAAAACTAGGAAATTAATAACTCCATGGCATTTCAATCCCATCAACTCTAATCAACATAAATCCATTCTAATTAAAACCTGCAAATCCTGAGGATACCAAACAGGTAGCCCTCTGTTCTGGGGAGATGGCAGCAACAGGCACATTCCACACAAAGGGAGAGGATGGAAAGCTCTGAAAGAGGCAAAGATGAAGCTGCACTAGAAGCTGTATTTTCAGAGTACCACTAGGCCTTAATAATCTCTAATTGGTGAAATAAAAATTAAAAAAAAAACCCTCATAAATTTTGTCCTTTAAAATTTAAAAAGCACTTTTATGAGCTAAATGAAGCTTCAGAGGCTGAAAAGGGTCACTAAGTTTATCACAATCATTGTTATAGTTTTAGATTTACCCCTCGGGAATCCCTCATTGGCGAAAACAAACATAAATTTTGTCCTTTAAAACTTAAAAAGCACTTTCACAAGCCAACTGAAGGATTTGAAGGAAGTGTACAAACTTCACAGGCTGCAAAAGGTTCCTAAGTTTATCACAGTGATGAAACCAGAAATAGTGCAGTGATGTAAAGCATGTTCTGATCAGTATGATGAATAACACACACCAGTTTAAAGGAGGATAATAGAAATTGTGTAATTGCACCAGAGCCTTTGTTTCAAAGTCAGAACATCTTAAATCTTGAGTCTGTCTTAAGGACTTGATCAAAAGCCCATAAACATTAACAAGATTCTTTGCTCTGACTCCCCTGGGCCTTGCATGTGTCCTTTTTACAGCACCTTCACTCATCTTAAATCAGTTCAGGGAGCTCCTCATCTCTCCTACAATCCATTCCATCCTGCACTCACAATTGGCACCAGCTTTAAAGTACACGACTAAAGCTGTCAAATCTACCTGATCCTGGTGACTTTTCATGTTACACCAAGACCAACAGTTCCCCTTGGCTGCTCCTGCCCTGCCAGGGGAAGGCAGGGACCCAAACTGAGCGTGGCTGTGTTTTGTTTGTGCACATCTGCAGTAGGTGGTACTGGCACTGGGGTTTAAGGAGAGAACCCATCTTCACCCAGCTCTTTAAAAAAAGGCCTCTTTTGTCCACTGGCAGTTTTTCTCCCCAAGCAGCTCATCAAAGAAAGGCTCGTGCTTGGCAGGCAGGGGCTGTCACCCTGCCAAGCAGCTCCACAGGAAGCAACCAACCTGCTGCCCCTCCTGGGAGAGCAGAGTCTCCCAGCAAGGAAGAGGGACTGGAGTCAGGGCTGGAGCTCAGACTGTTCCTATGATCACATTCCATCACAAACTTTCCCCACCATTGCCCTGGAATCAGAGCAACAGCCCGGAGCCGAGGGAGTGCAGAGCTGGGGGGAAGCCAAGCCGTGGGTTCCCAAATTAATCTCTGAAATCACAGCGAGCGTTGTCTTTATGATGTTTGCAACAACCACTGGCACTGAGGGGGGCTGGTGGCAGAAGTCCTGAGGGCTGGCAATGGTTTCCCAGACTAAAAAGCCTGGGAATCACTGATTTTATTCCTGCAGCAAGGAGCAAGTTACACCTCGACACCTCCTAACGTGTTCATTTAACTTGTTCTTACAAATTGTCAGTGAAGGGTAATCCACAACCTCTTTATGCAAATTGTGCCAGAATTCAAGACAATAAATGTACAGAATTTAATGCATGTTCTTCCAGGATATTTAGTGCTAGTCGTAGTTTCCTTTTCAAAACTGCACATTGTGGCTTGGTTGGTTTATTTTCTTGCAAGGAAGCAAAAATGGAACATCACATATATAAAGCCTTGGACCACATTGCATTTAGAAAAGCAGGAAAATAAAATTGATAATTTTTATCCATCCTACCTGTTGTGATGTCCACTGGTGATGGTTTAGTGAAATACCTTCTCCCTCTGTGTTTTCAGTGTGAAGCAACAGTTACAGTTGGCCTTTGCCATAAGAAAGCATTAATTCCACCCTCTGGAATTAGTATGTGGAACAGCAGGAGGACTTTGGTGGATAATGAGGAAGGCAGCTTTGGGAAGGTTCCTCAGCTATGAGCACAAACACTCCTCAGGTGCAACTTTCATCTGAGTCTCCCCTGCATGTCAGTCCATTGGATCAAATCAACAGGAGAAGCTGAAAAGAAGACAGAGATAAAAATGTGTTGGGACACAGGAAGATGCTTTAATAGATAAAAAAAGCTACAGACTCTTTAAGAAAGGATTTTTCCACTTTGTATTCCTATTGTCTGAAATCAGGCCTGAATAGAAGAAGATAACTTGATAAAATAGAGGCAAAAAAAAAAAATCATATAAGGAAATAATGGAAATGCTGTTCTGGACTTTTGTGAGTATAAATAGTTTTGGAAATGAAACTGTCAAGGCCAGCATATGAAATGATGTAGAAATAAAGTCACTTTAATGGTCAGTCTGCTGCAACCACATAAACATTCTCTACTTCCTTTCATAGCCCAGCATCTTGTAAATTCTTTTTTCTTTTAATCTGACATATGGGGAGACATTAGTTGGAGACTCAAGGGGACAGAATCTGAAAGAGAAGCAGAAACGGATCAAGGGAAGATAAGGAAAAGAAATCATCAACGGGAGATATTAAATTCCAAGAATGAAGCTGAAGGGATGGGACACACTAGAAGGGAAAAAAAAAAAAAGGTGGTGAGATAAGCTGGAAAATAACATGCTGAACTCAATTTTAAGCAAAAATATTAGACTGAAATAATCAGGGACTGTCTCTCCAGCTTTTCCTCTGCTTCTAAAGGTCTGGGCTGTATCTGTGAGAGTTTTCCTGGCACTTGACTGCAAATGCAGAACTGTTCTGCCACAGAACTGGGGCTGCTCTTCACCCTTCACTTGGCACCAGCAGAAGAACTTTCTCCCCCCTGCAGCTGCACTGGCTCATCCAGCCCCTGCTCACACTGGGGCTCTGCACTGCCTCCACACTGCTCACTGGAATGTGAACTGGGACTAGAGAATGAGTGGAAAAATATCTAAAATAAGCATCAGTATAAAAAATCAGGCAGCAATCTCACTAGATTAAATGAGCATTTTGGTGGTTGATTGGCATTCTCATGTCCTTCGTGTCCCCAGAAAGTTCCACATCTTATCAGCTGCCACATGAAGGAGCTTCATTTCTAGAACTAAACACAAGAGTTTTCTCCACAGGAGGTGTTGGAACACTGTCTTATCCCTGATCTACAGTTATAATGCCTTAGGCAACCTGGAGCAGCCTCTTGACCCCAAAGGATTCTCTTTGGACCATGCACAGCAGCAGCCACTTTCTTCCCTCTGCTCTGCAAAGCCAACCTCTCAATCCATGGTGGATTTTCCCTTTGGAGGTCATGGGGACAGCCAGAGGTGACAGGCAGCCTGATTGTGCAAACCAAACTACTGGTCCAAGGTTTCATTTCTTCCTCTGACAGTATTTTTTGTATCTTGTTTTTTCTGAAGTTTTATTAGCCCATTAGATTATTTCCTCATTATAATGGCAGCTCAGTCTCTTTCAGAAACTTATAAAACATATAAAACCTTCCTAATATCTTCATAAACCAGAATTAAATCTGCTATTGACAGTCAAGGGTGATGAACCAAGGGAATGGATCTTTGGCTCAAGTCCTGGCTGAGCCACTCAGTTGCCATGTGACCTCAGGCAAATAATTTGATCTTCTTTAATTGCAGCAGTCATAAATTTGGCTAAAGAAGTAAGACCTTTCTGAAAAGCACCAGCCTTTGACCTCAGCTTGCACCTCCAAAACCTCAGGCTGAATGATGCAACAATTTTTCAGTTATCTACCCCTAGAAACTATGTGGTTGCTCACAGAACGTGAGCTCTTCAGCACCAGAGGGGATTATGGCACAGAAATGTTATCAGTGTGTGTATGGTCCCACCAGAGGGAGAGAAGAAAACAGACCCAGACTCTTCTTCCAGGAGGAAAAACAATAGGCAGAAGCTGAAAAACAAGGAAATTCTACCTAAAAGTAGGGAAAAACTGTTTCATTGTGAGGGTGGTCAGGCATGAAGATGTTTCCAAGAGAGGTTGTGGAGTCTCCATCCTTGAAAATATTCCAAACCCAGGTGGATGTGGTCCTAGTGAAGCTGCTCAGTGAGGGGGGTCTGGAAAGCTCCTGAGGTCCCTCCTGCCCTCAACTGCTCCACGACCCAACACATGGAGGGTGTGGCTGACACAGGGAACACAACACTGGTGTCCATCCAGCCATGGAATCTGAAACCTCAGCCACAGTTATTGCTCCATCCCACTGCCCATGACCCAAAAGTGACCAGAGGAGATGTTGGACCATTTTGTGAGGTGGTAACAGGGAGCACTCTGGCAGTTGGATCAATGGCTTGGTACTCACAGGACAGTTATTGACACCCGACTCTTCCTTCCCTTAGACCTCGTGGATGAAAGGAGTGGAGGGAAGAGCCCTCAATCCACACCCTGCTCCCATGGGAGCCAGTGAAGAATGAAGGGGGAGCTCAGCTTGCACGAGCTCAGCCTGTGTGGAAAATAAACACAGATGGTGATCCAGACTCTTCCCATCCCCAGGTATTTATCCTACACACAGAGGGATAACTGGGGCCCTGAGGCTGGGATAAGCAAGGCTGTTGGAAGTCATGTTGGAAGTAATATCTCAGCAAGGGCCAAAGACCTGAGTTGCTTTGAGCCCACCCCATTTAACTCAGTCTCACAACAAATCAGTTTTTAACTGAACACCCTCTCACCGTCCTCACTCCAACAAACCTCTTTAACCATATCAAGAACTAATTCTGCATAATGACTGCAATATGAAGCTGTAACAAAACCATCCAGGATTTGTCAGGGAAGCCTTAAGGACAACGACAAAGGCACCCACTGAGAAGAGGTTCAGCAGCAGAGTGTCCCAGCAGAGCTGGGCAAACACTCCAACCCATTTCCCTTGGATATTCATTTGAATTTTTAAATGGGTTTCTTTGACTGTTCACATCCCTTTTGTGCTCACTTTCCATGAATAGCAAATGAGCTTTAATAAGGGGGATAATCATGAAAAACACATTTTAAGCTTGAACATTTGCCAAATGAAACCCTCCAATTGCACGGTGGTTAGCAGTATGTATGTCATTTTATGACTTTCCCACTAAATTAAAAATATTCACTGCTGGTCAGTTTTCACATCCACAGCAATGAAACCCAAATAATATCATTACAAACAGAACTGGGCAGCAGAGGTTAAATCATTATTATATACAATTAGATATTCCTGAATTATTTGCTGGTTGACTTAGTTCTTGACAATAATTATGACAAAAGAAAGTATCTTGAAATCTTGCCTTTTTTTCCCTTGTAGATTTTTTTTTTTTTAGAAAAAGAGTAACCTGTTATTTATTCAGCCCTGCCAGGCAACATGATTTGCCAGAGGATAGAGCAGTTATAGGTATAAAATCTTTACTCAAAGGGCTTTTGGTAAAATTTAAAGCCCTAAGATGCACAGGTGCAGCCCAGAAATGCAGTGAGATATATTTTGCTTTAGCTTCAATATACATCACTGAGTTCTCAAGGAAAAACCTTTTATATCCCATTTGTGGAGCAAATCACAACAGCAGAGTCCCCACAAGTCAACCCCATTTAGTTTCTAGTGATAGAAGCCTAAGAGGGAATTAATCAGCTTCTCCCAGAAACTCCTCCTTGTTTCTGTGACTAAAAAAAGTCACCCTGGCAGTTCTGTTTTCTATTTACTGGGGTACATAAATGAATAAAGCTCAGAGCGTGACACTGTGCAGCACTGACCCCAGAGCTGAGCTGGATGTACCACAGGGAGCAATCCCAATTTGGAAGGGGCTGGAAAAGCTCTAGGCACCATTGTCCTTTGAACCTGGAGGCCAAGGCACTTCTGAGCACCAGTGTAAAGGCTCTGACCAAATCAAAGGCATTTTGATGACAAAAAGATTGATATGGTGGCCTTGGCCTTTGGTCCAAATTGTTTTCATAACTTCCAGCAGAACAAATATAAACACGTTTTATGAAAGCAGGAATTCTGGGATCCACCAGCTCCAAATAATATTTGAGGTCTCTCATCACCAAATATAGTGAAAATCCTGGCATAAACTAAGTAAAGTAACAGAAAATTAAGTGAAACAAAAGAGCACATAACTTTGATTTCAGTGCTGTAAACTTTTGAGCTGCATCCACAGAGGAAAAGGGTGGTGGGAAGAAAATCAAATGCATATCACAGTAAATACCAGGTATTGTGATAAATTACTTTTATGCTTCCAATAATTGTAAACATGGGGGAGTTTCATATTCCTGACGTGCTTGAAGAGCTCTGCAAGCCTTGTTTTTATTCTTGTCATAGAACGGCATCAGTTTTTAGTTTATTTTGTGGAGAAAATTGTCGAGTTACGTTACAAGCAACTCCAAGCAGTTTGTTCAGGGAAGCTGAAAGGCGGAATTTTAGCCCGTTAGACACGGGCAGGGAAGCAAAAGGTCCCGTTTCGACCCAAACTCGATTAAATAGCGTCTCCCAGTGGTGGTACCTGGTATTGCAAACGCGAAAAACGAACTGAAATCCAGGGAGAAAATTCCAAAGCCCAGCAACGCGCGAATGCAAAATCCTTTTCTTGTCGCTAAAATAAAAAGAACATTAGCATGTACTCTGTAACGCTATATAAATAATTTTAAGGAATAAATGAGATCATCATCGAAGTGCAACGTAACGGGAAGTCTAATTAATATGGGTGCTGACAAAAATAATTGAAGGGGGGTGACATAATTAATGCCAGTGAACACAGGGCTACAGAAAACAGATATTGTTAAAATAACTTGATATCTTTCTCTTTTATGAGTGCAAGGAACGACACATTAATCCTGAGACCATTTTAGATGTGGGTACTGTTTTTACAACACTTTTACAGAGCCAGCAATCCAGGAGAAGGAATCTCCCAGAGGAAAGACAGCATTTATCCAGTTTAGTGTGAGTTGGAAGGAGATGCTGCTGAATTGCCAATTGCTCCACAATTGCTTTAAGAATGGAAGAACCTACTTCAAAAACCTGCTGTAAGATAATCAAATCTTGCATCCTCTCCCTCTTTCACACCGCAAAGATGTGATTTCTGTTGATTCCATGACTGGGTGGATCCCAGACTAACACTCTGCCTCTTGTTCGTGGCATTTGCCAGAGGAGTTGGGCAGCAGGCTTGGCAAACATGAGCCAAACTCTGGGATTTTCCAATGACCTCAAGGTTCTTTGCCAAAACATGGAGCAACTTCTATCCAAAGGTAACACACTGAAATTCTGAACTGCACCTCCTGACATGGTTTTCCAAGCAGGGATTGCTCCTGAGAGGCTCAAACTTCCCATTCTAGGAAGCACAACTGAACTTTAAAGGCTTCTCTTGCTCATTTAAAATAAAAGCTTCTCTAGCCCTCTCTGGTGTTATCCAAAGAGTGCTGTATGAGGTGAGAAATACTCTATAAAAATAACATTTGTACCGATTTCTTGCTATTCTGCCATGAGTTTTTTTTCTTCACAAAGCTCTTTGTGAAGTAAAACTGCGTGAGGAAGTGGATGTCCCATCATTCTGCAGCCACACTGCACTGCACCTTCATGCTTCAACATTTGAGATCTTCTAACGCTGATACTCAAACATTTTTTAAACTTTTATTTTAAAACTACTAAAACTGCCCTTGTTATCCTGTTAGTTTGGGCTGTTCCTGCACAAACTTCTTGCCCTGTATAAAGCCGGTTACCAGATGAGCACGAAAGTTCATCTCTGATCTCACAGGGGCAAACTCAGTTGTTACATAAAGTGCCAAGAGTTCTCTTTGGCTTCAGTGGCTCCAGCTTTGCCTTTTGCAATCACAGGAACTTGCTCTCCAAAAGAGGAAGGAAGGTGGAAACTGAGAAGGTTAAAAGTGTTCTGGGTAGGATGTCAGAAATACATAAGTAGCTACTTGACAGTACCAGCAAGGCAGGAACTTGGCCCAAAGGTCTTCCATTTTCCTCTGTGAAACAGTGAGCAAATGAGAGCAGTGATCTCAGCTACTTTTCTTTAATTAACCTTCACTTTATTGCAGTCATTGAATGTCACTGAGTAAGCACACTGGTCTGTGTTCCTCACTGTGTCAGCACTCAGCACCCTCTACATTTCAAACTCAATTAAATGTCTTTTCTCCCAAATGTTGTGTTTTTCTTACCCTTTCTCTCACCACGGGTTACTTCATCTTTGTTCCTACTGAACAAGAGCTCCATCATTTGGTCTCCATTTCCCCTTTCCTCTCACATCCTACTTACATAATACATCTAAAATCATCTTGACTACCAAGCCCAAGTCTACACTTTGGTCGTCTCTCACTAAGTTATAACACCTCCTCCTCCTCAGATGTTTGAGAACTTGGCTTCTGCAAATCAGTTCCTTACAGATGGTGCTTCCATTTACTGGCACCAATTGGTTACTTGGAAGTATTAGTCACTGCAGATACACATTTTATAAAACATGTGAAAAATAAGAAGTGGAATAAACAGGAACATACAGTGACATACTGCCTTGGCTCTTTCCCAGTTTTTTTTTTCCTCCTAAGGACAAACACTACACAGCTCACACCATGTATTTATGTTCAAGTGAGGTTATGATGGAGGCACTTGGTGGGAAAGTAGGAATGCTTTTCTAATAGTCAAAATAATCATCCCCAAAATGCCATATTTTCAGCATTGCAGCCTTATTCACAGAGCAGTGACTCAGACCCAGAGACAGTGCATTGGACTCATGACCTTCCACTGCTTTTCTGTTTCATCTTGGACTAGATTTAATCTGTCAGTGCCTTTATTTCCCCCCCGCTGTAAATGTGAGGGACAATATTGGTGCCCATTGTAAAATTAGTTGGCATTTGGGTTGCAGTTCTCACACCCCCTTGCCTCGATCCCCACCTCAACTCCCTGAGTGCTGCAGGTGATCCCACAAAATCAGGACTGAGGAATGGACCTGGGATCTCTCCTGGAAGACGCCAGGAAAACCATGGAGGGTCACACATATGCACTTAAGCAGGTCTAGAGCCTAGGCACAGCAAGGCATCCTCGATTTGTTCTTGTTCTTCCCTGCATCCTTTTCAACCCTCCAGTGCCTCCAATACCTCCACATCACTGTCCTTGGAGTGAGAAACCTAAAAGCAAACAGAAAAACCCCACATGTATCTTCACCACAACCACCCCATCCTCCTGCCACTGCAGCCTAACAGAGTTTAACCGTTTCTTCTCATTTGCCTCCCATGGACACTCCAACTACTTTTCCAGCATTTTCTCCACTGTCCCCCCAAAATCTCTCCATTTTCCCTCACTGGAAGGGTATCGGTCCTCTCTGCTCGCCCACCCACACGAGCTGGGGCTCAGCACCTGCATTGGCCGGGCTTCCCCTCAGCCCTCACCTGGCACCGACCCCTCAGAGCCGCCCCGGTGCCCTCAGCTCGTTCCCCCCTGTCCCTCAGAGCTCTCCCGGTACCCTCAGTCCGCCCCAGACTGGCCTTTGCGGTTCCCTCAGCTCGTGTTCTCCCTGTCCCTCAGCTCAAGATCCAGTTCCCTCAGCTCGTTCCTTCCCTGTCCCTCAGCTCAAGTTCCAGTTCCCTCAGCTCGTTCCTCCGCTGCCCCTCAGAGCTCCCCGGTTCCCTCAGCTCGTCTTCACCCGTCCCGCCTGTCCCTCAGCTCGTTCCCCGCTGCCCCTCAGCGCTCCCCGGTTCCCTCAGCTCGTTCCCCGCAGTCCCTCAGAGCTCCCCGGCTCCCTCAGCCCGCCCCTCGGCGGGGCCGTTCCCCGCGCGGTGACCCCGCGCCCCGCCCCGCGCAGGCGCCCGGGCAGCCGCGGCCTCGGGGGCCGCCGGTCCATGTCGGTCCTTGTCGTTCCCCTGCCGTCCCCGCCGGTCGCTGTTGTTCCCCCCCGGCCCCCTCCCTTCCCCGGCGGTCCCGATGCTCCGCACGGAGAAGGTGCTGCAGCTGCGGGGGCAGCAGGGCCGCGCCGTGCGGGTGGTGCGGGAGCACTACCTGCGGGCGGACGTGCCGTGCCGGACCGCGCTGTGCCGCAGCGCCCTGTGCCGCGCCCGCGGTGAGTGAGGGGCGGCCGCGGGCCGGGGCTGCGCGGGGGGACCGGGAGTGAGGGCGGGCACGGCCGGGAGCGACCGCGGGGGGAGCCGGGGAGGGGGCAGAGCTGGGCACAAAGGGTGAGCCCTGGGCGGGGATAATCCCTGAGCAGGATCGATCCCCGGGCTGAGGTGATTCCAGAGCGGGGTGATCCCTGAGGGAGGGGGCGATCCCAGAGCAGGGGTGATCCCAGAGTGGGGGGTGATTCTTGAGTGGGAGTGATCCCAGAGCTGAGATGATCCCTGAACAGGAGTGATCTCTGAGCAGGGGGTGGGCCCTGGGCAGGGGGTGATCCCTGAGGGAGGGGGCTGATCCCTGAGGGAGGGGGCTGATCCCAGAGCGGGGGTGATCCCCTGGCTGAGGTTCGGACGGTGCTGAACCACCCTGGAAAAACCAAACAGTCCCAAATCGCGGCTGTAGCAAAAGTTTCCCTCCAAAGCAAGATCCTTCGGAAATCAGCGAGGCGTTAAGAGAGAAAGGAATCGTGGAGTTGGTTGTTACAGGGTTTAACTGAGAGCAGTTTACAGGCAGTGATAAAGGGCTGAAGGATTGTTCAATTTTTACACTCCCCGTGTTTTAAAAGATCCTTAAAAAAGGCATTAATTTCTGCAGGGTGGTGGTTTATAGCATGCATTAAATTCTATACATACCTGTTAAGTACAACAATGGGGCCAAGCCATTATCTTGAAGCGACTGTAATTCTGCATCAGCAGTTCTTTCTGTTCAGTAATTAAATGTAATTGCCTGTGTTATATCAGGGCATTTCAGACACGGGAAGGCTGCCAGGCTCTGATGTCTGCATTTGTTGTTGTTTTTACAGACTGTGGTGCTGTTTATGTGCATCATAGATCATCACCTGGGCTTGGGTTGATATTTCAGTCTGGTTTTTTGTTGGTGTTAAACAGCACAATTAAACATTAACATCCAACCTGTTTCAATAGACCGAATTATTTGCTTGCCTAAAAGAAGATGGTTGAGAATTTGAATTCTTTGGAACTGTCACCGACATAGATGTTGTCACTTTTGATTGAGGTGTCTGTTGCAATTGAGGGCAGATATATTACTTGTGTTATTGCAGTATATTACATAGGATGTCAGGCCTAGTGATAGTTACTGCTCCCCAATATATTGCATTTGGTTTTGAATTCCCTAAGGATGAGTTAAAAACACATACCAGAGAAAAAGTCTTACCTCTCCTGCCGTGCCAAACTTCCCCTCTTCTGCACTTCAGTGTAAATTGTGCTGTAGGTGACTGTCAGAATGTGTCCCTTTGTAATTATTCAAGGTAACCCAGAGGTGAGGGGAACGTTTGTTTTCACTCCTGACTTTGCACAGTGTGCTGAGCAAATTTATTTCCTGCACTGTGAGGGACTGCCTGAATTAATCACACCTGCAGGTGCTTTGTAAGGGTGAGCTGTGCCTGCTCAGAAGTTATTCTGTTCTGGATGTATAGGTTAGGCAAGGATAGCTCAGTGTGGGCAGATTACATAAATCTTCCAGTGACACTTCACTTTTAATGCTCTTCTGAATTATTAATAAATATTAGCTTTCTTGTATGCATTCTGCCATCATCCATTATAATCCTTCAGTGAGAGATGAAGCCAAATTAAAATTGTGCTGACTGGATCCACACTTCCAGTGATCACAGCTCACTGACAGATTGTCCTGGGTCAGCTTCTAAAAAAGACATGAAAATAGCATGACTTGTCAAGGTCTGTATACTTTTGTTATATATTATTTGCCTGCGCTCTGGTGAGCTCAGCAATTCAGTGTTTATAAATACCATGAGGATTAAATGGATACCAAGAGAAAATACAGTGGAGATCCCCCCCATCCAAAAGTTTATTGGGTAATCTTTGAAATACCAAAACCAATTAAACTCATTAATTTTAAGGTGCATTTTAAGGTATCATCTGTGATGGGCTGGCTGTGGTATTTTGATGGTTTATTCCTAAGGGAAGGAGTCTCTTTAGAGAAAATTAGCAATGATGGTTAATAGTTTGGGGTCAAGAACATCTCTTAGCAGTAGCATTGCTTTTCTCCACGTGTACCCTTACCTGTGCTCTTTTCTGTAATGATATATCAAAAAAGCCTGCTGTAAATGGGTATTGTTAACAGAGAGAGCTGTGGGAGCAGCATAACAGAACTGCCCATGATTCTACACCCCTTGAAAATTCCATTAAAAGATTTTCTCTGCCAGATGTGTAGTCCCTCTTTCACATGGAAGCAGAGAAAAAAGGACTGTTACCTGCACTCTTTAAGTTACAGGCTTTTCATAATGAAACTGCCTCTTTTTCACTCCTTTGGATAGAATTTACACTAAATTTTGGCATCAGTGGATGCAAAAAGGGTTCTGTCATAAGTTTAGAGACTTGACCACAGAAGTGGACCATGGTAGCCATAATTTTGTTCAGCAGAAGAAGAGAGATGCACATCTTGGAGGACACACAACTCGAATTCCCTATGTCTGAAGCAATGTTAGAAGTGACAGTTTTAGCCTTTAAACTCTGGATTATATTTCAGATGGCAAATTGCTCTCAGATGACGTCACACACTACGTTGTCCCCGACTGCAAAGTTGTGCAGGAGTACCTGGAGATTCTGGAGTTTCCGGAGCTGAAAGGAATTATTTTCATGCAAACGGCTTGTCAGGCTGTGCAGCATCAAAAAGGACGCAGGTACTTATCCCATAAAACCTTAGTTTTTATTTTGATTGAAGTAAAAATAGTCACTTTGTAAAAGGTATCATTTGTTTTTAGGTCTTCCAAGTGTCTGAATATAATTTTAAAGAAGGGGAAGAACTGAGGTCCTTTGGGATCCATGGGCAACAATGCCTGGCATAGTTTTCATTTCATAGGAGCAGTATTAAACCTGTAACATTATTAATTAATCTGATGGTTTGTGACAGGAATTAATGAGACTTTGCAGTAATGAAGTGTCATATGCCACAACTGGATTATGGACAGGTTTGGGTTTGCTCTGTTAAGGACTGAGCACTTGTCTTTGGGGAGCAATTAGTACATTCTGTGGCACTTACCAGCCATTAACCTGTGTATCTCCATGGCATTTTAGAGTAAAATTTGCTCCCAAGGCCTTCCTGTATTTCTGAAGCACAAATGCTTTTGCAGGAATAGCCCTTGTCCCAAAGTGACAAAATAAGCCCCACTTAGGATGTTTTGTGGGGCTCATTGGAAAACAAATGTTTAAATCAGAATGTTTAAACTTAAACATGTTGAAAATTAAATCAAAGCGTTTAAATCAGAGTGTTTAAAATCATATGTTTAAGATCAGAAGCAGTCCCAATGGCAGTTAGAAAAGCTTGCTTGCAGGTGGTGGTTTAGGTTTTGTCATCAGTGGTGTGATTTGATGAATGCATTTCTTTGTGCATGACAGTAATTTGCCTTGAGTTCTTCAGCTGTATTTTCACCTGGAGTTAGAACAGCCTTATCAAAAGAAAGCACAAAAGTGTATTTCTGTCTTTTGTATTCCAGACAGTACAACAAGTTACGAAATCTGTTGAAGGATCCCCGTCACGACTGTACAGTGTTTGCCAATGAATTCCACCAGCACTGCTATTTGCCAAGAGAGAAGGGAGAATCCGTGGAGAAATGGCAGACCAGGTCTGGTTTAACCTCTGTAGTGCCACACTGGGCAGGATCATGGCTTTGTATTTAGGAAAATGAGCATTGGGCACTGAGAGTTCATGCCCTTGCTCTGCTTGGCTTTGGAGCAGTTCACAGTCACTGAAAGCCTAGATCGTGCCTTAATGATTAAGAGAGTGTCAACATTGTTTTCTTAGGAAAATAGACAACATACACTGAATTAAATGCAATAATGCTAAAAAAAAAGCTGGATCATTTTAAAGTTACACCCCAGCACTGGAGTCTTGGCAGCTCCCCTTGCTTTTTGCAAACTTCCACTCAATGGAACAATATGTTGTGTTGCAGCCAGGGCACAAGTGGATGTACTGGGGAGGAAACATCCTATTTTCCTCTCTTCTCCTGGGGCTTATAAACACATAAACATTTTTGCAGGTAAAAGGTTTGTGTAGCTTGTGTGTAGCTCTCAAAAGTCTGTGCGTTAAACCAAGATCTCGTTTATACAAAGCCAGCAAAAGCCTTGCGAGTAGCAAATGAGCTATGCCAGAAAAGTTATTTCAAACTTTGCTTTTCTAGGAATATTTACAATGCAGCAGCCTGGTATTACAACCACTGCTTGGGGCAGATGCCAGTTGTTATGGTAACAGAAGATGAAGATGCCATCAGGCAGTTTGGGAACGAAACAGAGGGAGTGTTTGTGATTTCCTTCAAGGTAACATGCCAGGAAAATAAAAGGTTTCCTTTATGTTGCATCAAGTACATCAAAGTATATTGCAGATCATTCCAGAGTTTACACTGGAGGAAACTGTGATGGTAACTCATGTCTTCATTTCTCAAAGAAAGCAAAGATGTCACTTATGGGAACGTCAGAAAAAATGATGGCAGGGAGCAAACCAGAGAACTGAAGAGAAAAACAGCAGCTCTGAAAATAGAGGTCATCTTTCTTAGGAGCCCTTTTCAATGTTTTCTTTGTTTTTAAAGAATTTGGTGTTGATGAGCAGTGATCAGTTCCCTCAGTGCCAACAGTCCA